TTTTTACAAAATTCAATCATCTTGTATTCTTTGTGTTCGCTTCTAATTTGAGAGTTCCACATGAGTATTGTTTGCTGAACATCTGTGTATGTAAGTTATCACTATAGACGAATCAAAAGTCGTATCTTGAAGGTGTTAACCGTGAACCGTAGGTAATATCCGAGGCTATTTCGTCTCAAGGAGAGTGCATGCTACGTACCTCGATTTTATTCGTTTTCCTTATGATTCCTTAAGTAATTTTCTTGAGATGCTAAACCAAAAATTTATATAATTCCCAATTCTTCAAAGTAGCAGGATTAGTTAGTAGCAGAGGAAAAAAAAAAATTGCATAAGAATTGCACTGCATTTACTCGAAATTAAGCCTTGCTGATCTCGTAATTTAGAACATTTATGTGTAAAAAAAAAAAAAAAACATAGTAAAAAGTAAATGTGAAAAAGAGAATTGATATGGACTTTATTCTCATGAATTTATAACATATATGAAGAAAAAAGTAAGTCTACAATTTTCCATGTTTATGGTTTTTAAGACTTCATTGTATTTGCCAGTTTTTCTATCTTTCTTTTTATTTCCAAGTAACAACACTACTGAATTCTTGTATTCTTAGTTCTCTCATTGTTACTTTTTAACTTAGATATATATAATAACTATCCAATGATACTTGGATCTTGAGAGCTTTGTGAAAGGTTCAATTAATTTCTCAATTTTTTTTTTATTGCTTTATAATGACATCTATGTAAGGATTGAGTTTTTCTCGAGTATGATAGGCCAAATTCCTGTTACTATTGGAGAGTAATAGTCAAACGCTTAAAACGCTCTACTTTGGCTCGACATTCGACATTCATTCTATTGGTCGATGAACCCTAAAAATGCTTTTCTACTTTGGCTCGACGTTTGACATTCATTCTATTGGTCGATGAACTCTGAAAACGCAAACGTAATATTATGATGTATGCAATAGCATTTATTAAACTAATAATGAAATGCGCAACAAGATTTCATTAATCAATTTTTCTATTAAATTCTAATACTTTCTCTTACACCTAATCTTATATTCACAAACATAACTCGTTTTGTAGATAGCATAATGACTATGATCTTGAAAAAAAAGTTCATTCTACTATGGCTAGGTCATAAGGGCTTTGTCACTTTATGTATTAATTTAATTTGAGTCACATAAAAAAGACATAATTGGTTAGCAAAGGGACAAAGTAAGGTGAGGAATTATGGCAGCCATTTGCATGAACCTTGACATGTGTTTCTACTCCTCTTCCCACATTCAACCTCCTCCTCTATTAAAATGGCTATCAACATACCTAAAAAACACATACACAAAAACACATCTTTAACATACGCACATATAGTCTTTATTTGATAAATGTACAATGGATAATAAAAATGATGCTCCTCCTCCTCCACCACCACCTCCGATGCTCGAAAGAAATGCTTCAATGGAGAAGATGAGTGAAGAGGATATAATTCTTTTTGAGGTTCGTGCTCGTGTTTATGTACGAACTTAGTGTATATATAACAGTAAATTACGTCACATGCACGACATAAAATATTCCTATATACATCACAAAATGATGATTTACTTAAAACATTTCCTACTTTCTGCAACAGGGAGCCATTCGCATGCTGCTGGACACTTGTGCACCCGATGAGGTGTCGAGGATTATAGCTGGGGTACACACTAATTACGATATTCCAATGGAAATTCCTGCAGTAATATATTTCAATGGAAATCCAATGAATATTCCAACATATAGCTGCCGTTGGCATGAGTCCAACGAAAATATTATGTTGAAATTAGGTTTTCATTAGAATTTTTGGTTGGAATTTGATATTTCAAACAATTAATTTTTTAAAGATTTTTTACAATGGGAATTTCTGCTAGAATATTTAATTATTATTGAAAGTTTATTTTCACCAGCATTCCAACCGTTGGAATCGCAAAAATCCAACAACAATTCTAATGGAAAACTCATTTTAACAAAATATTTCTATTGAAATTTTCATTGTAGTACATTGAAAAGTTACAACGAAAATGATAACATTAGAATATCAATTGGATGAAATTCCAATGGATTTTTTTTTTTTTTTTTTTTTTTTAAATTTTCGTTGGAATTTCATCATTACAATTACAAGCTTCACACTATACTTTATTGATTTTTATGTTTACACTTGGATGAATCTTAATAACATATCTAACGTACAATATAATTAGTGTGTGAATTTACATTTGTATATTCTCTTTGACCCAAGTAGGCATCAAATTTAGTATGCATTTATATAGTTTACCACACTTGGTTAGGAATGAACATATTAAATGCATATGCCTAGCATATTCATTATAACCTATTACCAATATCAAGTTAATTAGATAAAAAAATTCATCAGTAACTCAAAATTACCAAGTGATAACAAATATATATATAAAATCATATTGGGATAATGATAATTGATAACCAGTTAATGGGGGTGTTTAACTATCGCAGGTAACGGAAACTACTGCAGAGACCGGTTGCGGGACTGCCAAGACAGAAATTGTTGAGCGAGTTGAAAAGTGAGCAAGCAAATGGTTCATGGTGTTCTTGACTGTATATCAATGAACTTTTAGTTGTATTTTGTTATGTGTGTGTTCTATGTTGTTGGCACATAAATAACATCTATGTTTTTGGTTTCATGAATCAATTTTTTTTCTTTTTTTTTCATTTTGTATTTGATTCGAATGCATGGCAAAAAATTTTGATGCGATTACAATGTTGCCATTTCACGCCCATGATTCATATTGCTCGAGAAATTCAAATGTACGCAGAATAAATATAATATTAAATTTAGACTGGAGTAGTTGTTGGGTTTGCTATACCGAACGAGGTAAAACGTAGCAGAAATTAAACGAGATCAGACATGTATCTATCGATATATAATAAACTTGTCAGCTCACGTAGCAATTGTAATGATCGATATCTTTTAAAATCAATTAGTAGTAAGAATTTTGATTAGTAAATGACTTCGAAAATTAGCTTTTATTTTCTTCTAAAACGCGACAACGGAGAGGGAATCGATTCTCGGGTATGTGGATCGTCTTCGTTCCTCTCCCCATAGGCACTCACGTTTCTTCTCTCTAAACAAGCCCACATTTTGAATTACGACTCTGGGCTAAATGTATTCACTAATAAAATCGTCCCGAGGATGAAACGGTAAAGGAATGAATTAAGAGATGAGAGTTATTATTATTATTATTATTATTATTATTATTATTATTATTATTATTATTATTATTATTATATTGTTCAGGAGCCTCTGTTGCTAGTTGTGCAAATCAAATCTTCAATGGTGTGTGTATATATATATATTGAAGTGAGATCATATGAATAAAGGGTCATTGTGAAAAAAATAATAATATTCTGTACAATTGGATCCATCAAGATAACGGTAATAATCAAGTCAAATTTTAATAAGTGTCAGTCAAACATGCAGTGGCAGTCTCGTGAATAGGTGTTCATACCATGATCAAATATATGCATTTGACGACTTAGTAGAAGCAAATTTACACATCATCTTTCAACTAACAGTGGGCTCTATATACCAACATGCGGTGACAGTCTCGTGAATAAGTGGTCATATCATGATCAAATACATGCATTTGACCACTCAACAGAGGCAAATTGTACATTACACATCATCTTCCAACTAACAATGGGCCCTATATACCAACATGTCACCAATCCCCACCCCATCACTCTCTCTCTCTCTCTCTCTCTCTCTCTCTCTCTCTCTCTCTCTCTCTCTCTCTCTCTCTCTCTCTCTCTCTCTCTCTCTCGTACACACACACAGTAGCACACATGTACTCAGCCCGCGCACGCACACACACAGTCACCCCCGCTGCAGTGAGGCTTCCTCATCAACCTTTCCGCCGCTCGTTGCCATACACCACACCACCGGCCGGCCACCGAAAGTACCTCTGCCATTACTGCTTTCCTCCGTCACCGCCGAAAGACTACACCGGATATTGTGGCCCTTGTCGAAATCAACCCTGCCACCGCCTCATCTTCTTCGCCTGTGGCTGCCCCGTGCAAATAGGAAATTGTTTCAATCTTGGAGCCGATGAAATAATCCACAAAATTCATCGGCAACCAGAAATCGAAACTCTATCGTCCATTCTGTCGTTACCATCGTTGTTAGACAAGAAGTATAACATGACCTCCGCCATGTCATCCCCATATGGCTAAAAATTCACAAGGGAAGGCTGAGAAATTAGGTAATCTCAAAACTGGTTTCTTCTAGAAATTAGATAAACACAATTTATTTATAATATTTGAAAAATATAAAAAAATATTTTTATATAGTTTATTGATTCGATTATTTTAAAACATTGACCTAAAATCACCAAAATTTTAAAAGTAACAAAACAGATAATCAACTCAAAATATAAATTTATAATATGTTATGACAATGTTTTGTTAAAAATTCAAAATTTGGAATTTATTATATGTTTTGTGAATATAATAATATTTAAGAATATTATTGGTGAGCCCTTAACTAAAAGGGCTTCCAAAAATTGACGGGCAAGCCCACCAAAGTAGGGCGGAACTCACTCGCCTTGAAATGAAGTGTGTTCATGGTAGGTGTCGGCACGACTTGCCGTCTCTATACGATCATTAGCAAGTCGCCTAAGCACCCCCGACAGGACGGGTTAAAGTTTATATTAAATGCCCAAGGCCTATTTTATAAAGCTCCACAAACTCCTCTCATCTTCTAATTTCCGATGTGGGACTCAACTCTATATTCGTGGCTGCTAAAAATCCACACCAAAAAAAAAAAAAA